AATACTCCCAACTTGCCTGAATGGGTGCAGCTGCAAGAGACACTCAAGAAGCCTGACACTATCCAAGATGAAGGAGCCCACTTGATTGGCACCACATCCACTTCTTCAACCGTTGACGTTCAGTAGCAACAGTGTGTACCATTTACAAGATGCACTGCAGAAATTCGTCAAGGCTCTTTAGACAGTACCTTCCAAGTCTGCAGCCATTACCATCCAGAAGGACAAGGACAGCAGATACAAGGGAACACCACCACCCGCAAGTTCCCCTCCAAGCCATTCACCATGCTGACATGGAAATATGTCACCGTTCCTTCAGTGTTGCAGGGTCAAAATCTTGGAACTCCCTGCCTCACAGCATTGTGGGTGCATCTACAGCATGTGGACTGTAGCAGTTCAAGAAGACTTCTTGCTGCCAGCTTCTCAAGGGAAACTAACGATGGACAATAAACTCTACCTCAGCCAGAGATGCCCACATTTCTTGAATGAATAAAAAGCTATGCCTTATATTAGTGCTAGAAGCAGATTGGAAAATTGTCAATTTATATTTTAACTAAATGTCATTGGTAAGATTTGGATTAATTCTCCATCCTGAGTTGTTCTATGTAAAGTGGGCATTTTAGCAGTCGCTACAACCAAGCAGATATCTAGACCACTTCAGAGAGCAGGTAAGGTTCAACCAACTTCATGTGGGATTGAAATCAATCCTAGGGTAAGACAGATTTCCACTTTTATGGCCTTTAGTTAACCCATTGATTTTATGACAATTCCACAGCTGAATTTGTATTCTTGAACAATCATTGTGAGATACGAGCTCATGTCCTCTGCTTTAAAAGTTCACGGGGAACATAAACTTAGACCTTTAGGCTGTTTCAGTACGATAAATTACATGTAATTCTGTTTAATTATGTTCCAAGCCATTGACTTGTTGGTGACATAACCATACACTGTTGTATTTATGAGTTTCTCTATATGTCTGAAAGGTAATCCATACTCATTAACCACGGCCTAGCATCGAGCAATCATTTATAGAGCAAAATATTGCAGATTGGCTGGGCAGATCTGACCCATGAACAGTGTTTCAGTACAGATTCAAAACAAGGGAATTACCGAGAGAGAGAAAAAAAAGTCAAAAGCTATAGGTAAAAGCTCCATAGGCCTTAGAGAGAGACGACTCTGGTGGCTTACCAGAATGATACCTGGACTTCAGGGGTTAAGTTATGAGGAGGATAGTACAAATTAGGCTGGTTTTCTTTCAAAGGTTAAGGGGTGATCTGATCGATGGCTTCAAGACATTAACAAGGAAAGACAATGTAAATAAACTATTTCCACTGGTTGGGAAGTCTAGAACGAGGGATCATAGTTAGAGAATTAGGGCCAGAATGTGCTGGAGAGATGTTAGGAAGCACTTCTACACGTTCTAACTTCTTGAGGTTTGGAACTTTCTTCCACAAATGGCAATGAATGCTGGACCAGTTGTTAATTTTAAACCGAAGATACATTTTTATGAAGCAAAGTTATTATGGGATATGGGCCAAAGGCAGGTATATGGATATGGCCACAATCTCATTGAATGGCAGAACATGCTTGTGGGGCCAAATGGCCTACTCCTGTTCCAACGTTTAACCTCAGGGCTTGCCACACTTCTGGCAAGGGGTGAGGTTGAGGAAGAGGGTAACCTCAGCCAGTGCAGGAATTGAACCCATTTTGTTTGCATCACTCTGCATCGCAAACCAGCCATGCAACCAACTGAGCTAGCCAAACTCCAAGCACCTTTCTTTGTTTCACCAAATTAAACAAGTCTTTTGCCATGACATGTTGTTAAACTCACTAACATCTGGAAGATTGGGTTTTGTATCACGTCAAATAATTCACGCAAAGTGAGCTACTTTGTAATGCACATATTCGTATAGTGAAGAATATTAATGAATAATTACTTTGCCTGAGTGTTAGGTGTGCAAGTCATCAGGAGAAGTGATTAAAAAAAATAAATCTCTTAAATACGAAAGTGGGACGATAATTGGTAGCCCTAGAGGGGGATGCCCCGTGGTCGGAATGTATTACATCTATCCGTATTAAAAGATGTTCAGGAACAAACAACAGAAGCGTTATTGCATTTATTAGTAAATATATACAAAAATCTATTCTGAAAAGGTATTGTGCCAGAGGACTGAAGTAAGTGTGTTTTAGGAAAGCATCAAGAAATTGAGTGGTCAGTATAGATTTTAATAGAGAATTCATATCTATTGAATTATTTGAAGAAATTGCAGAAAGAGTAGATAAATGTAATAGACGTAATATATTTGGAATTTCAAAGAGCCCTTTTGGCAACTGAAGAGTGTCATTGGGTCTTTCACTGACCAATCTATTGCAGGCCTATGGGAATTCAATGTAGCCTCTTGAGAAATAGCCCAGTTTTGGGCTATCTCCTGTTCCAACTCTTTAGGTAAATGAAAATCCAACTCCCAAGAATTGACTGGACCATGAAATGGAAAGCAGTGTCCACCCTGTAACACAGTCTTCTCATCTTGGGGTTTAGACAGGATGCAGAGTGAGTTTCACTGTGTACCCAACTTAGCGATGGCTGTTATCCCTTGGATCGTGGTCAATACTAGCAAGGCTGGTATTTATTATCTCGGGAAAGTTTGACTTTGGACCTTCTCCCTGGACCATTGTTATCTTTGGGAGTAGGTTGGGAATTCTGAAACAATGGTCCAAGTGCTGGATCCTGAAACTGGTTGCCTAAAGTAGGAAAAAAAATCCATTTTTGACCATGGAAATCCCCATAAAATCAAAACTGCTTTAAGGAGTTTGAAAAAAAGTGTGGCACAAATTTTAATCAAGGCAAATGAAAATAAGAAAGCCCTGGGTCTAGTCTATGACATTGTTGAGTAATTCTCATGATATGGTCCCTTTTTTTCAAGTGTCACTGATGCAAAATGTTTGCACTTAACAACAATTTTGTCTCAAAGGTAAGTAATGTGACAATAAAAATAATCACCTCTTTCTAAAAATTAACGCTTCATCATACAAGCATAGAGATCAACAGTACAGAAAAAGACCCTTCAGCCCATCATGTCCACACCAGTCAAAAACAACTACCTGACTATTCTAATCCCTATTTTCCAGCATTTGGCTCATAGCCTTGTATATCTTGGTACCACAATTGCACATCTAAATATTTCTTAAATGTTATGAGGGCTTCTGCCTCTACCATCCTTATAGGCAGAGAGTTCCAGACTCCCACCACTCTCTGGGTGAAAAAGTTTATGCTCACATCTCCTCTAAAACCCCAGCCTCATACCTTTAGCCCTTGGTCATCTTTCACTTCAATAAGGGAAAGGTTTCTTCCTCTCTACTGCGTCTATGCCCCTCATAATTTTACTCATCTCAATCATGTCCCCTGTCAAGCTCCTCTCCTCTAAGGAAAACCACCCCAGTCTGTCCAGTCTCTCTTCATCACTGAAGCTCTCCAGCCCAGGCATCATCCTGGTGAATCCCCTCTGCACTCTCCCAAGTTCAGTCACATGCCTCCCCTAATTTGGATTCCGGAACTGCACACACTACTGGAACTGTGGCCTAACCAACCTTTTATACATACAGTAGTTTGTTTTTACATCCAGGTTGTAAGACGATCCTGCACTGCTCATTTTTGAATATGCGTTACAATTTGCTTCAGTGGTGAGGGAAAGTTTTTTTTTTCTCCTGAGAATTATAATTCCAGGGAGTTGGATGAAGAAGGATGGAGGTGGCTCGTAGTCACAAGTGGTCTAATTTCTGTGTTGTAAATATTTAATGACTGTGTGTTTGTTATTTGAAGACTCCCTACTTGCATATTGAAGAGGCCAAATGGGGTACATGGGAGCACTGCTGTCTCTGAACCAGCATTTATGGGTCTAGGTCCCAACCCAAAACTCAATAGTCAAGGGAAATATTTTTACAGCTTTGAGTATCAAACTCCATACCATTCTAACACACATTAATGGCAGGCAATAAAAGTGAAAGAGATTGTAGGTCAGTCATATATCATAGAGTCAGGGATATACAGCACTGAAACAGAATGTTCGGTCCAACACATCCATGCTGACCAGATATCCTAAATTAATCCAGTCCCATTTGCCAGCATTTGGCTCATATCCCTCTAAACCCTTCCTATTCATATACCCATCTAGATGCCTTTTAAATGTTGTAATTGTACCAGCCTCCACCACTTCCTCTGGTAGCTCATTCTATACGCACACCAGCCTCTGTGTGAAAAAATTGCCCCTTAGGTCCCTTTTAAATCTTTCCCCTCTCACCTTAAACCTCTGCCATCTAGTTTTGGACTCCCCTACCCTGTGAAAAAGACCTTGGCTATTCACCCTATCCATGCCCCTCATGATTGTATAAACCTCTACGAGGTCATTCCTTAGTCTCCGACATTCCAGGGAAAATAGCCCCAGCCTATTCAGCTTCTCCCTATAGCTCAAGTCCTCCAACCCCGGCAACATCCTTGTAAATCTTTTCTGAACCCTTTCAAGTTTAACAACATCTTTCATATAGCAGGGAGACCAGAATTACATGCAATATTCCAAAAGTGGCCTAACCAATGTCCTGTACAGCCACAACATGACATTCCATCTCCTATATTCAATAAAGGCAAGCATACTAAATGCCTTCTTCGCTCCCCTGTCTACCTGCCACTCCACTTTCAAGGAACTAAGAACCTGCACTCTAAGGTCTCTTGTGATGGAAAGAGAGGGTCAGGGCCCCTGACGTTGTTGGCTGTAGCTCCAGACTTCAAAGTGCATGTGGGGTTAATGTTGACACAGTCATTCAGATTCCCAGATCACTGAGGAGATAGAGACCCGAAATGTTAACTCTGCTTTTCTGTTTCCACAGATGCTGCTTGACCTGCCAATTTTTACCACTGCTTTATTTTTCTGTTTCAAATTTCCACTTCTCACAGTATTTTGCTCTTGTAAGAGCAAATTGTATCTAATTGTATTTTCATGTGATTTCAGGTGTTTCTTATTGGCCTGATAGCAGACAGGAAATTCCAACACTTCAATGCTGTCCTTGAAGCTTATATCCGGCAGCACTTCAGCGCCACCTTGGCTTATAAGTATGTTTGACAGAAAAAACATTGTGTTTTTGTTTTAGACTGACTAGAGTTTAAGCAGATCAGTCGAAGGTCGCTGACTTCAATTGCATTTGTGACCCCTGAGCAGACGTCAGCAGAAAAGAAACACTCTCTGAAAGGCTGGGCAGTCAGTTGTGGCGAGATTAGATTAGAAAGAAAGACAGATGTTATAAAAGGTTGCCTGGGAACCAGCCATGCATTGGATTGTGGTTTGACTAGAGAAGCCGACCAGTCTCTGTTGTCGACTCAAATTTCCAGTTATGTTAAGAAAATGCATCAAAGATGGGAAGAAGCTAATGTATTCAAGAAAGCCGAAGTTCCTTGATTCCAACTGCCTCACTCCTGCATCCAGTCATGTTCTGAATGCAGCTTCATTCCTACTCCATATCTATCCTGCTAGGCAGCTCATTCGAAGTATTTGAAAACCTTTATAAAAGGAGCTTCCTTCAGGTATATTTCTCACTGGCTTCAGTTTACAATATCAGCTTCCACTACATCTCTTCTTATTAAAATTAAACTTGGAATTAACTTCCCTGAATCATTTATTGTGCAATGAGCTGTTATACACTGAAATGCACTGCCTGATATGTCAGATTTGATTGTAACTTTGAAAACAGGCTTGGATAAATACAGTACTTGAGAAGGAAAGATTGCCAGTGTACGGAGAATGAGTAGTGCTATTGGGTGAATTGATAGCTGCTGCAAGAGCAGGCACAGATGTGATGGGCTGAATAGCCACCTGTCACTCCATCATTAGTTTTCTTTATGCTTTCATGGGATGTCACTGTCAAGGCCAGCAGCCCTAAATTCCCCTGAATAGAGTGGCATCCTTGGCCAATTCTTAGAATCTTAAAATTAGATTTATTGTCACATGTACTCGAGTAAGGACATAAGAAATAGGAGCAGGAGTAGGCCATCTGGCCTATCAAGCAAACTCCACCATTCAATAAGATCACGGTTAATCTCTTTGTGGACTCAGCTCCATTTACCCGCCCGCTCACCATAACCCTTAATTCCTTTTCTGTTCAAAAATCTATCTCTCTTCGTCTTAAATAACATTCAATTAGGTAGCCTCAACTGTTTCACTGGGCAGGGAATTCCACAGATTCACAACCCTTTGGGTGAAGAATTACAATGAACAGTTTACAAGTCTCCAGGTGCCATCTTAGGCACAAAGGTACCAAGGTGCAGAGTCTTAAATTCAAATTCTTATGGAAAAGAAAATTAGAAAAATGAAAAAAAAACACTAGCATTACAGATCATTGGAATAAATTAGAAAAATAAAGAAATTAAAATGTCAGAATAATAGAATCCAGAGGGTAGTTAGGTGTCAACTTCATTTCTGTGGTTTAGCAGTCACATGCAAGGCACACTGTTAAGGGTGGTACAGTTCCCTTCCTTCAAGGATATCTCTGAACCAAATGGGCTTTTTACGACAATTGACAATAATGGCACAGTGACCTATAATGCATTAGGTCATCTGTGACACACGCTGGCACATGTTTTACACAAAAGAACGAGCTTACATTTTTCCAGCACTGTTCATGACTCCAGGATGTTCCAAAATGCTTTACAACCAGAAAGGGAAGTTAATCTTGCACTCTAGGAGAGTTTATTTTATACATCTCATATGAACATAGGGACATACAAATTAGGAAATTAGGCCACTTGGCTCTTCAAGCTTCGCTGCACCATTCAGTCCAATAATCCCACCTTCCCTTGATAACTGTATACCCCCTTCTTATCAAGAATCTATCTATGTCTAACGTAAAATATTGAAGGGCTCTGCTTCAGTTCTCCTCATCTCAGTATTAAATCATCTTTATCTTTAAACAGTGTCCCTCTGGTTTTATATCAATCTCCCACAGATAGCAAGGTTATAATTACTGTATCATTTGTTTTCAATGATATTGATTAAGGGATAATTAATGGTCAGGACATGACAGAGAGCTTTGTAGCTCAACTCCAAAAGCCTCCCACTTGAGATGGGGCCTCAGTTTAATGTTTCACCTGGAAGTAGGTACATCTGACTGTGCAGATTTCCCTCAGTACTGCACTGAGATGCCAGCCTTGCACTTAAGTCCTGGAGTGGGACGTGAACTGTAACTTTGTGATTCAGAAATGAGGATTCGACCGACAGAGCCAAATATTCTAGTCGTTAGTAAAACAATCAGCCATTCAGAAGATAATAACTTACAGTTTGGCCTGACAGATGTCATTCACATTTGTCTATCAAATTTGAGTTGATTAGTTAGGCATGGAGCTGCTATTTGCTATGAATGAAGATTGGCAGCTAAAGCAAACAGCTCCCCTTTGAGGGGAACCAGCCTTCAGCAAGGCCGAGCCTCCATGTACACCATGCAAATTGGCGCAGGGTCAAGAAGATTAAAGAGGTAAACACATGGCTCCAAGATTGCTGTGGGAGATATGGGTTTGAATTCATGGGACATTAGCACCAGCACTAGGGAAGGACGGAGCTGTTCCGAAGGGATGGGCTCCACCTACATCATGCTGGGACCAGAGTCCGGGCGAATCACATAACTAGGGCTGTGATTAGGGCTTTAAACTTAATAGTAAGCGGATGGGTTCAGTTCCATGGAAAGTTATGGAAAATGGCTTGTCGTCTGACAGTGTTCGAGGATCCTGAGTTTGGACTCAATCGTGTTTCGGAAGGACGAGGGGGGAGCTAATTGAAACTTACAGAATACTGAGAGGCCTGGATAGAGTGGACGCGGAGAAGATGTTTCCATTCATATGAGAGACGAGGACCCAAGGGCACAGTCCCAGGGTGAAGGGACAATCATTTGGAATTGAGATGAGAGGGAATTTCTTCAGCCAGATGATGGTGTATCTGTGGAACACATTGCTGCAGAGGGGTGTGAAGGCCAAGTCATTGTAGATATTTGAGACAGAGGTAGATAGGTTATTGATTGGTGAGGGGATCAGGGGCTACGGGAAGAAGACTGGAGAATGGAGTTGAGAAACATATCAGCCATGATCGAATGATGGAGCAGATTGGATGGACCGAATGGTCTAATTATACTAGTATGTGTTATGATCTTGTGGTCACTCAGGAAAAGAGGGGAGAGTAAAAGGAGTGGACAAATTAACCTATTATTACATCCTGGTCAGCTATCTCTAATGTTGGAATTTCTTATTACAGGAAACTATTGTCTGTGCTAACGGACTACGTTGACAATGCAAGCCGTGGTTTGGAATGTGAGCCTCTGAAGCGAGCCTTCAAAGCATTAGAATACATTTTTAAGTTCACAGTCCGATCCCGATGTCTTTACTCACAGTGAGTTCCTCTCTATCACTTGGTCCTATCATTGAACGATTTCCCAGTATTACTGCTGAATCAGTTCTGAACATGAAATCTTTTGTTTTTGCCCAGTGCAGACCCGATGGACCGAAGGGTCTTTTTATGTGCTCCAGATCTCAATAATTCTGTGAATATGATTCTCTGATGCTGCTACTGCAAACTATTAAAAATTTGGCACCTCTTTAGTTTGGCATCTGTTAGACACTTAAGCTGACTGTCTTGTTGTCATGAGGTTCTGTCCTGCATTTTGGTGGTGTAGTCTTGATGGGCTGAAGGCCCTCTTCTGTACTGTATGATCCTATGAGTGAGGAGTTTTCTGGATGGGTTCAGTCAGAAATTACTAGATATGGTTGTTGAATTGGATTTGGTGTGGTTCAGGTCAGTTGTCAGGCAATGCTTTCCTTTTGTTAGCAATGTTGACCTCACGTGAGCTGAGTTCAGGCACTCTAACACAAATCATGGAATCCTTGAGGTTTTTACAAAGTCATTTGGCCCCTTGTACCTCTGCTGACTCTTTGCAAGAGCGATCCAGTTAAGCCATTAATTTGCTCTTTCCATAGCCAACAATCATTCCTCCCTTCAAGTTTTCATCCAATTGTTTTATGAACTTTTTACAAAACGTATTTATGAGATCTGGGCATCAATGGCTAATCAGCATTAAGTGCACATCCCTAATTACCCAAAGGTCAAATATCAACCACATTGCTGAGGGTCTAGAGTCATACGTGGACCAGAACAAGTAGGCAGATTTCCTTCCTCATAGAATCATAGAATCCCTACAATGTGGAAACAGGCCTTTCGGCCCAACAAGTCCACGCTGAACCTCAAAGCATCGCACCCAGACCTACCCTGCTATAACCCTGCTAATCTACACATCCCTGAACACTTGGGGCAATTTAGAGTGGCCAATCCACCAAGCATGCGTATCTTTGGACTGTGGGAGGAAACTGGAGCACCCGGAGGAAACCCACGCAGACACGGGGAGAATGTGCAAACTCCACACAGACAGTCGCCCGAGCATTCGTGGACCAAATGGGATTTTACAACAATCAACAGTGGTTACCTAGCGACCACTGGGTATTTTTTAAGTATTATAGTTATATTGTATACAGATTTCTCCACCTGCAATCGCAACAGTGTGGTAAGAACCACATAAAAGTTTGGAGTAATGTTGTTGTGGAGATGAATACAGTCACCAGTATGTCACAGCAACTGTTCTGTAGCTTTCAGAGTAATGCCAATGAGGGCATTTTGCCCAGGAGAGTAGATATAGAGTGTAGTTTTCACATCCCATCTGAAAGACCACATCTCTGACACTGCAACGCTTGCTTTACTTATTCATTCATAAGATATGGACATCATTGCCCTAAGCCAGCTTTCTTGATCACCCCTACTTGCCCTTGACAAGGTGCGTGATAAGTTGTCTCCTTAAATTGCTGCAACCCTTGGGTTGTAGGGATATCCACAGTGTTGTTAGGAAGGGAGTTCCAGGATTTTGACCCAACGACAATGAAGGAATAGCAATATATTTCCAAGTCAGGATGGTGAGTGATGTGGAGGGGAACTTGAATTATAGAATCCCTACAGTGTGGAAACAGGCCATTTGGCCCAACAAGTTCACACCGCCCCTCTGAAGAGCATCCCACCCAGACCTATTCCCCTATCCTTGCATTTCTCATGTCTAACCCAAACATCCCTGGGCACTACGGGCAATTTAACATAGCCAATCCACCTAGCCTGCACACCTTTTTGGACTGTGGGAGGAAACTGGTGCACCCAGAGGAAACCCATGCAGACATGGGGAGAATGTGCAAACTCCACATAGACAGTCGCCCGAAGCTAGAATTGAACCCGGGTCCCTAGCACTGTGAGGCAGCAGTGCTAACCACTGAGCCACCGTGCCACTTTTGAAGTGATAATGTTCCCATATGTCTGCTGCCCTTATTCTTCTAAGTGGGAGAGCCTGAGGTTTGGAAGATGCTGTAGAAAGAACCTTGGTGGTTGTTGCAAAGTGCCTTGTCGATAGCGCTCATTGCTGCCTATGTGTGTTGCTGGTGGAGGATGTGAATGCTGAAGTTGTTGGCTGGGCAGTTGGTCAGGCAGACTGCTTTGTCCTGGATGGTATCGAGCTTCTTGAGTATTGCTGGAGCTGGAATACTTCCTGCTTTCCTGGATGGCTGCAGCTCCAACAATACTCAAGAAGCTTGACACCATCCAGGAAAGCAGGAAGTATTCCACCACACTCTTGACTTGTGCCTTGCAGATGGTGGACAGGCTTTGGAAAGACAGGAGATGAATTATTTGCTATAGAATTCCTAGCTTCTGAACCTGCTCTTGCCCAGTAATTATATGGCTGATCTAGTTCAGAGTCCGGTCAATGGTTAGTGCCAGGACGTTTGTAGCAGGATGGGGTTGTAGGTGTAGGGGGATGCTGGGTTTAGGGTGCAGATGGATAGGAGAGCTGGGGTGAAATCAGCAGTGGTAATGTCATTGAGTGTCGAGGAGAGACAATTAGATTCACTCCTCTTTGGAGCTGGTCATTGCCTGACACTTGTGTGGTGCAAATGTCACTTGCCACTTATCAGTCCAAGCTTGGATGTTGTCCATGTCCTGCTGCATGTGGACACTTCCCCAGCAATGCCTTTGAAAGCCCCTGCTGAGATTGTCCTTAAAATAACTCTACAAAAACCGGTATCCTGTCATCAAGTCACCCTTTATTTAGATGTGGAGAGTCCTTGACACTGATCTAGCTTCCTCGGAGCCAGCTGTCAGAGTGAACAGAACCTCTGACACTCCTGTTGGTATCTGTCAGCCAAGGCTCCCTGGTTGGACCAGGTTAACAACTCCAATCAGGGAACTCACATTCTAGGAGGTCCACCTGGCTGACCGTGTTACAATAACTACAGTGCTCACGTCTCTGGAGTAGGACGTGAACCTACTTAGTGAAGAGATATTACCTGCTGAGCCACACTGTATAAGGATAACACAGTGGCTAGGTGAAGGTACTGTTAGTGTTGCTAAAGTTTGCATTGAGTGTGATGGCACATGATAACAGCGATAAAAGGTTGGTTTGGGAATTGGATTTGAAGAGGCCCTGACTGGATTGAAAATGTACCCAACACAATCGAGATAACAAGGTGTAGAGCTGGAAGAACACAGCAGGCCAAGAAGGGTCTAGGGTCTAGGCCCGAAACGTCAGCCTTCCTGCTCCTCTGATGCTGCTTGGCCTGCTGTGTTCATCCA